CTCGCTGGGCGCCGCGCTCTTGGGGTCCCCCTTGTCACCTGGGGGGGACAGGGGCGTCAGGGGACACGGGGGGGACACGGGGGGACACACCCCAGAGGGGCTGGAAGGCGGGGGGGGATAGGGGCAGCCTCACTGCTCCTGTGTGGATACCCCAATTCTCCCCATGTGGACACCCCAAATCTCCCCATATGGACACCCCAAATCCTTTCCTACATGGGCACCTCAATCCCCCTATATGGAAACCCCAATTTCCCCTATATGGACACCCCGATTTCCTCTATATGGACACCCCGATTCCCCTATACGCACCCCCCAATTCTCCCTATATTGACACCCCAATTTCCCCTATATGGACACCCCAAATCCTTCCCTAGATGGACACCCCAATCCCCCTATATGGACACCCCAAATCCTTCCCTAGATGGACACCCCAATTCCTCTATATGGACACCCCAATTTCTCCTATATTGACACCCCAATCCCCCTATATGGACACCCCAAATCCTTTCCTATATGGACACCCCAATTCCCGTTCCACGTGCGCCCCACTCCTCTCTCTGCACCCCAAACCTCTCTGGGGGTGCCTGCCTCCCTCTGGGGGGTCCCCTGAACCCCCCAAAATCTTCTCACAGTCCCTTATCAGAGTCAGGACAACACCCAGCACATCACACACGACACCCCAATTCCCGCTCCACGTGCGCCCCACTCCTCCCCCTGCACCCCAAACCTCTCTGGGGGTGCCTGCCTCCCTCTGGGGGTCCCCTGAGCCCCCCAAAATCTTATCAGAATCCTTTGTCAGAGTCAGGAGGGCACTGAGGGCATCACACACGACACCCCAATTCCTGCTCCACGTGCGCCCCACACCTCTCTCTGCACCCCAAACCTCTCTGGGGGTGTCTGCCTCCCTCTGGGGGTCCCCTGAACCCCCCAAAATCTTATCAGAATCCTTTGTCAGAGTCAAGACAACACCCAGCACATCACACACGACACCCCAATTCCCGCTCCACGTGCGCCCCACACCTCCCCTCGCCCCCCACCACCCCCGGGGTGGGGTTCCCCCTTTTCCCCGCAGCCCCCCGTACCCTCCTCGGGGGCGTGGTAGGCCGCCAGGGCGTTGAGCATGTCGTAGATGACGTCGCGGATGGGCTCGGGGATGGGCGGCAGCGCGGCCGCCTTGGCCGGGGTCGTCTTCACCAACTGCACGGCGTTGGGACCCTTGA